ACCACGTTTTCATTTCCCTCCACAGTATGATTTGTGTAGGGCCGTGCACCCTGCACATCAGGAAAGGGTTCAGTCTCCACACACCACTAGGTTGTCTTAGCAACACGTGGTAAGTCATGGCCGTCCACCTCCTCAAAGTGATTCATTGATTTGTTGCTTCCCTGTCTGGTCGGTTAGGGGTGATTTCTGTGAACTGTTGTACATAAGTCAGCTCAAGTTCTCTCTAGCCACCATCTTTTTTTTTTTCTCTCTCTCTCTCAAAGCTATTTCTGGACTAGTTTCTTTGGAAAAAAATGTTGGTTCCCTTTGCCTCTGACCAAGAGTTAGAATAACATTTTGAGCATATTCCAAATGCCAGGCCTCACACTTAAACTAGTACATGATTTGTCTCACTTGCTATTTAAAACAACCTTATGAGATTAGAACCATTATGAGGCCAAATTTATAAAAATACTTTTAATTAAAGAGGTTAAGTAATTTTTGCAATATGATATTCTCAGCATATTTTAGAGCTGGGCTGGACTGTGAACCTAGACAGACCCTGACCATATTGAATATACCCCACTGTGTTCCTACAGTGCAATTTCTTTCCTGCTTCCAAATGAACTCTAATCTTCTATTAGTGACATTGACTTAAAAAACACACCACTGTATGAACTCATTATGTATAGTCCTCAGAAATTTAACTATCTATCTTTATACTGACTAGAAGTTTTGTTCTCTACAATTATTAGGGGATTCTCCATTACACCTAGAACTCTCCCAGATAGGTTATTTTAATTATATATTAAACTCTGAAGGATAAAGTTTTTGGAATTTTTAAAGATTTATAATAGAAAATGGACCAAAAAAAATTTTTTCCAGAAGTGTCTCCATATTTTAATGACATTACCCCAAAGAAACTTTTTGTTTAATTTAACTACATTTACTATATTTATTTAGTTCTTAAAATTAGTACTCTACTATAAAAAAGAATGTCTTTCCAGAAAATTTTCAAGTAAATAAGAAAAACAATAGTTTTTAAAAGTATGATTAGATTCCAATCTGAAATAGAAAGGACTGAGTTTTAGTTGTTACCATGTTTCTAAAATGTGTTTAGAAGTTAGTCTATATACATCCCAATCTCATACATATGAGATAATTTTATCCTTTCCAGTTACACACACACCCCAATAATTAAGCAGCAAGAGATACTTTGAAAGTACACTGCGTTCTGAGAGTTCTTACAGTTCATGAACTTGATTGCCACTGAGGGAGCAGGCTGAAGTGCACATTAGCTGACTGGGTTCCTCCGGACTTGAGTTCCAATGACGGCTAACATACCTATAAAACCCTTAATTTTATAGAAATTGTAAGATACGTTTTCTGTCAGTGATGCGTTTTTGGTTTCATATTTTCCAACTTAATATTTAGTAGGAATCCACAAATAATTTTATATTGCAACTGGAGTCTGAAGTCACAAATGGTCTGATAGCCTATGCATGTATCAAATTATCAAAGGAAGTAGATAGAAATCGGTAAATGTGGCTAGGCAAGAGATTTCCTTCCTCTTTGAATGTCCTAAGAGTGGTTGAGATGTTTCATAGTTGGGGAAGGATCCAAACCACAAAAATCCTAAATGAATAGTCTCCTTAAGGGAATAACTGAAAACATTCTACAAAAGAGGTTTTGTGTAGACACATATCCACATTTGAAGATACATTTAATTGCTAACTTGAAAATATAAGCATCATTTCAGGTATTTAAAAAAACCCCACCTCTAAACACAGTTACAAAAATTAGAAGTGCATATTCAAAGTGAGAATCTCACTCTTTCTCTTCTTAATTTCTATTGGTTGCCTTTATATGGATTTAATTCCAACCTCACATATTTGTTCAGACCTAGTTGATGTTTAGGCTTTCCAAAAGAGGGGAAATCATACTCTTAGCAGGACCAATGCTTGCCAGTAGTTGCAATGACTCACAGCTGGAATGTCCTGTGGTTAACATTTTGCTCTGAAAACAGAATCAGAGGGCTCCAAGGGGTTGCCATGGTAACCAGTATTTGTATACTTTGAAAAATGACTGTTCCTGTTTTGTGTGGTAAATTTACCCTGGAATGAATTGCAGAGGTGACGTTAGCCATCTGTGTGAATACAAACAAATAACCTGATTTAATTAAGTGTAAACTTTAGAAGGACATAAAATTGGGGATATGAGATTACTTTTTGTATAGAGGTATTATTATTTTGTACTAATTAATTTATTAATTTATTTGAAATTATATTTAAGCACTTTCATCAATGTCTATTTGATATTTATTTTAATGTACCATTCTCTCCCTCCCAAAGGCAAAAAGAAACAAATTATCCTTGATCAGTGTTCCCCCAAAACCCAGTTCCTTTACTCCTGTCCCCATCCCATTTTGATATTTATTTTAATGTACCATTCTCTCCCTCCCAAGGCAAAAACAAACTAATTATCCTTGATCAGTGTTCCCCCAAAACCCACTTCCTTTACCCCTGTCCCCATCCCATGCACAAGGTGTTATTTAAAAATGATTGGGATTCAGGGATTCTCTTTCAATGAAGTAATCCTATCTGGAAAGAAGAAAAAAAAAATCCCGTCAAAATCATTTGAAAATGTCAGGTTTCTTAACCTTGCTGAGCTAGGAGACAAAATTACTATACTACTTAGAACCCTGAATAGAATCTGAAATATGGTTCCTCTGAATGTCACTGGCTAATATTTCAAAGATCCACCAAGCTTAGAACAACATGGTTATAGAGAAATCTTACCTTATGTCTTATTGGATGAAATGAAATAATTAAAGCTTTGGTCATTGGACTACAAAGTTAAGAATGAGCCTTTTGGAGTGGAAAACAGTAGAGTGTTTTCTTACTTATTATGTCTCTGCTTGGGAACAGTATGTTTATTTCTGAATTAATTCGTTTTGCTTGGGATTCATACACTGAACTTAAAAAGAGTGGAGCTGAGCTAAATACTTTTCACTACAGTGAAACAGCACTTAGCAGTAAACAGATTGCAACACGGACCTCCTGCCCCACCTCCACCTCCTGCATTGGAGTGGGACCTGAGGGCTGCAGCCAAGGGCTTTGGTTGTGGTTACCTGTTCTTTTTATGTTGCTTTATTCTTTTTCTTATTTTTGCTTCTTCATTATGGCTTCCATCAAATATCTAGAATGTTAGACACTTGATAATAAATATACACATTTGAAGCAGCAATATTAAAAAAAAAGGAAACTGAATTGATAAGCCTGAAAAATAAATTTCAAATGTGTAGGTTTACAGTGAGTGATACAATGGACTTCTGAGCTTCTTTTTAAATCTCTGCTGACCTCCCTCCAAATCTCACAAGCATGTATGTCTATTGAACAGCCAATTTTGAGAACTCAGAATGAGACAAGCCAAGATTTATGAACCTGAGATTCACATGACCTTGAACAGATCCAGACCCTTTGCTGCCTAAATAGAGCGTGCTAGAATTTAGGACTGTAAAACCCTAATCTGTATCTAACTCCGCAGATAGTTTTATATCATAACATTTTAGTAAATAAAAATAATTTGGTCAATTTGGAATTTGTTGAGTCCAGATTATACATTTTCCTTTCAGACACATGCAAACACATATGCTCTCACACACTCTTACATACGTGTAATCTCCAAGAGAATAATCAAGGAAGTCCATGATCAGTACCTTCTGTTTTGTTGCCATCCCAAGGATAACTGGAACCAAGTGCTAAAGTGAACAGTCAGTGGTCAAAAGAAAATATAATGGCCTTTACTTTTTCCATCTCACAAACCATAAGGAAGCCAGTGCTTTTGAATTATTTTTCCTGATTGGAGAAATATGGCAGAGAGGTTTATTTTTTTAGTTTAAAGGTATACCTGATGAAATTATTAGATGAGGCAGGTAAAGGGTGCACAATAGGATATATAAATACCTCAGTGGAGAAATGGGCCTTAGCAAAAAAGTTCCAAGAGAAGAATTACAAATGGGCAATAAACATGAAAAAAAATTCAATCTCAAAATAACACAAATTAAGACAATTATAAAAAACACGCACAAATTTTCACTGTCAGCACCAGCTTTAAAATAGCCACAGTTGCCAAAGTTCCACCGCACAAAGCATTTCTGTAAACTGCTGGTGGGAGGGGACATTGGGATAAACTTTCTGGTAAGAAATTAAATAATATACATGAAGAGCCAAGAAAGATTATACTCTTTGATTCATTTCCCTTATAGGAATCTTTCCTGGGGAGAACTTTAAATATTAGGCAAATATTTATTTTGGCAAAAATATTGGAAATATCCTAACTGAACAACAGAATTGTAATGTAAATAATATCTTATGCTACCATTATAAAAGTTTACATGGATGATATAATGACATGCTTAGTATAAAACAGGGAACACAATGACATGGTAGCCCAAATTATACATACATATACACTTACACATGTATGTATATACACACATACAAATGAAAAAAATATTGGCAAGCTAAACTTCTGGTTTAAACAACACATCAACAGTGATTATCTTCAATGTGATTAATTTTTTATTTTCCTTTTTCAAAACTTTCTAAAATGTCTGATTTTTATAGTTAGTATTTATTTAAAAATTTACATCTTACAATTACAGTACATTTATTGAGCTTCTCTTATGTGTCAGTATGTGAACACATCTCATTCAGCCTACTATTTCCTTATTCTGTGTCTGAATTATACTTTGGAGGGAATTTTCTAGGCTGACATAACACCAAACAATATTTGGATTTCCAAATTATTTGGCTTAGAAATCATCCCCGTGACTCTCTCTCTCTAGTTTTCTATTTCGCATTCTTATGTTAAGCATCTGGTACTCGACCCACCTAAGCAGATTTAACCTTAACTTTTGAACCAAGGAACAGATTTTGCTAAATGAATAGACTTTACTTTTTCCATCTGACAAACCATGTGAAGCTTTTTTACATTGGGAGGTTTCCCTTTGATTTCAGCTCTATGACGGCTCGCGGAGGATAGGACGCTATTGTGGAGCAGATATGCCACCTTCAGGGAGCACCACGGGCTCCGTTCTTCAAGTGCTGTTCCACACCGATGGGGTTGGTAATAAGGAGAAAGGATTCCAGATGCAGTGGTTCGTTCACGGTAAGCCCAAGGCGGACCTCAGTCATAATTCGTAGTTGCTATTTGACAAGAACTGGCCCCGTTCCAAGTCTATTTGGAAACTATACCATCAACACCAATTAAACTGAGTAGTAATCTTGTGCTGGGCCTTAGAAAATGTTACTCAGTCATTGTTGGCTCTTGGAGAGTTAAAGCCAGTTAGGGCTAAGAGAGGAAGTGATGTCAAAGCGAACAGGATTTGGATAACTGCTTAGGTAGGTGCAGTGATACATTGCTTAAGAGAAAGAAAGGAGCAGAATGAAGTTTCTAAGAGTGAAGACCTGTAGGTGGGTGTGGCAAGGAAATTGCAAGGTAGGATGGCGGCCTCCTAGGGAGAGTGGAATAGAATGAGATGTAAGGCTTACCCTGACATAAGGAGAGAAGGAATGATGGGTTAGAAGGAAAAGGGAGTCAATCAGAGAGAGAAAGGGAGGAGCAAGGATTGCACTACCAGGGAAGCAGGAGGAGAACTAGTGATGCCCCGAGCCAGGAATGTGTGTTGTGCCTGCCACATAGGTAGGGGCACGTCAGAGCCCATCAACGAACTGGTGGTTGAGGAAGCAGGTAGGGTCGCTCAGATGGTTAGAGCATTGTCACAATATGCCAAGGTTTGGGTTTGATCCAGTCAGGGCCACATACAAGAATCAACCAAAGAATGCATAAATAATTGGAACAATAAATCAATGTTTCCCTCCCCCTTTCTCCCTAAAAAAAAATTCAATAAATAAAAATTTAAAAAAAAACTTTTCATTTTTCTGAAGATGAAAATTCATTTAAAAATGTTTATTTATTAAATTGATTAGGGTGACATTGGTCAACATGAACATATAGGTTTCAGGTGTGAATTTCTATGTTACAAGACCTGTATATTGCACCGTGTGTCCACCACCTGAAAATTCATTTTTAACAGTAGTCCTGAAACTTCTAGACTGACCTCATGTGGCCCAGTCTAAAGGCAGTGATTCTCTAAACCTACTCCCAAAAGCAGCAGCAGAGTCACTTGGAACTTGTTAGAAATGCAAATTCTCAGGCCCCATCCCAGACTTTCAAAATCACAAACAGGAGGCCCAATAATCTCTCTTAACTGGTCTCCCTGGTGATTAATGTTTGAGAACCACTCTCCTAGCATGATCCAGACTTGAAAATTACAGTCCTTGTGAAAATTATAGTAGCAGTTCTCAACCACCGTTCAGGACTCACTGGTCTGTTTCAATCAATTTGAAAGAGAAGAGGAGTTGCGGTGTTATAGGAGGAACCACATACAGACATCCAAGCTATGGCCACACTGTCAAAACCAAGGGTGAGCCCACGGCAAGGGCCTGAATGTGTGTCATGGTTGACTCTTGAGGGTTGTTAACATCATAGTGCATTTATTATATGAATCTCATGCTATATATAACTGAATAGCCCTGTTATATATTTAAGATGTTAGACATTCTGAGACTATAAACTGGAGACTGAGTATATTTCTGTTAAAAAATAAGAATGGGATTTTCAGTGTTTAAAACTATTCAGTGGTTATCCACAGAGCCACTTATAGCTTGAAATAAACTATAATGAATTCCCAAAGTAAATGAACTATAATGATTAAGCTTGTAGAAGTTCTTGACCGTCCTCTTCACCAAGCAGGTAAATTTAACCTTGGATGCCAGTTTGTGGATCTGTTAAATGAAGGGGCTGGATTGATTCATCTCTATAATGCAGTTTGTCTCTACTATTCTGTGACTTAGAAATGGCGTGATTCTAAGGAAACTGGAGACAGTGTGAAAAGACCTAGAAGAAACAAAAATCTTGGGAAATGATCCAGATCTTCAAGGACAAGTGTTATTTTCCAGACAGCGATTCTCAGGCTTTTATATACACACTAGAGGCCCAGTGCACAAAAATTTGTGCACTCAGGGGGCGGGGGAGGGGGGGGTCCCCCAGGCTGGCCTGTGCCCTCTCGCAGTCTGGGACCCCTCGGGAGATAACGACCTGCTGGCTTAGGCCTGCTCCCGGGTGGCAGAGGGCAGGCCCAATCCCTAAGTGCAGCCCCTGGTCAGGCTCAGAGCAGGGCCGATTGGGGAGTAGGGGCGCCGCCCCGTCATGCACAGAGCAGGGCGGATAAGGAGGTTGTGATGCCACCCTCAGTCACGCTCAGGGTAGGGCCAATTGGGGGGTTGGGGCAC